ATATTTATAAAAGGAAATGGAATCCTTTTGTAGAAAAACAAAACTCCTGTTACTATGTAAAGCATAAGTCTTGTTGCTGAGGGTCTTTGTATCTATCTTGTTCTCTATTGTGATAATTTACCATTTTTTATTTCCAGTGTTAGAGAAAAATTTCCAAGAGGGAAAATGAGTCTAAAGAAGCAGAGAGACACCGGGAGACAGCCACAAGATTGGAATTACAGTGATCAGTGGAATAGAAAATCAGCTAGCAGAGTGGTGGCGAAGACAGTGACTGAGATATAGTTTTAGGCAGTATTCAATCTGAGTAAAGATCATGATGAAAAAAAACTGACTCACTCTGTCTCTGTGTGTGTGTGTGTGTATGTGTGTATTATACATACAATTTTAAAAATTGTGCTTAAAATAAAAACTTTTTTTTTTTTTTAAGTGTCTGGCAGCACATTGACTGCATGGGGATTGACAGGCAGCATATTCCTGACATATATCTGTGTGAACGTTGTCAACCAAGGTGAGTAGTTTCGTTGATTTTGAACTGTAAATGACTACATTGAGTAGAGAATATAAAAGAGGAGGTACAGGAACAACTCAACAGATAAAACAGAGACCATGTGGCATAATCCTGACAGTTTTAGTTAAAGGAGCTACATTTCTGATGCAGGTGATCTTACCAGTCTTCATTCCCTTGTTCACAGTAGTCATTGTTTCACCTCCCTAGGCAGCAGGGATAAACCCTTGAAACGCTTCTTGAAATAGCAGTGATTCCTGGCTCCTTTCTCAGGCTGACCGATACGTAGGCAATCCATTCCATATTTTGTTTCATGTTTGTCATATGTTGAGATCCCTTAACAGCAGTTTTTTCATATCAGCTGTCCCACTAGTATTTCTTAGTGTCTTTTGCTTTTATGACCCCATTCGAATAAGTTTCAGTGCTCACTGGGAGGATTTGTTGCTCTGGAATGAGTATTTGTACACCACCCTGCCCCGCCCCCCCCCAACTTGAAGTCATATGACATGACAAGGAGGGTATTTTGTTCTGTGTGGTAGGTAGATTATACCTGACTGTCATCATAGTTGTCCTGTGATGTAGAGCATAAAATGCTACGTGTTACTTACGCTGCAGATTTTTAATTAAGAAATGAATAAAAGACGTGTCTTCAGAACATTTTAATTACTAGTAAATGATTCTTTTATTTTTGAGAAATAATTTGGAACTTGTCCAAGTAGAATAGTTGTTTTGTATTGTATTGTGACAATTGTTTTGAAGAATCTGCAGGAAAGTGGTTTAATGCCTGCTTATCTGTAATCCGTCGACCAACTGTCAGTCTTTCTTCTGAGCTATCAAGTTTTGTTATGTTTTCAAGGTATTTGGATACTTGTATGTGCATTGCATTAAAATGGAATGCAACAGTGCACAACTCCTTTTTCTAAGTATGTAAACATTCAGCTGGTCTACTGTTTATTCTGTAATAGTCAATGGAAAATGGTAACTATGTAAGTGTCTGTTTTAATACGTGGAGGTATTGATATGTAAGTGTGAAGAATGGAATAAAATCTATTTTTTAATTTCAGGAATTTAGATAAAGAAAGGGCAGTGCTGTTGCAACGAAGGAAAAGGGAAAATATGTCAGGTGAGCAAAGCTTAAAGATTTTTCCTTAGTAAAGGTTATAAAATAAGTATATATCAACTGTATAGACTTAAGAGTGTATACGTGGTTCCTGCAGTTTCGATAGTCTTCAGCATTTAAGGTTTGGTAAATCAATACCTTTTATTTGACTTTATCATTACTAAGATAATGCTATATCAGAGTAGTTCAGTTCCACGTGTTTTGTTAAAGGTTTTCACCAGTGCCTTTTTTCTTACCATTGTGGAATAATTCAGGCTGAACATTGCTAAAGTTTCATAGTAATGAATGTAGCTGTTATAATAACTAGACTACTTCGAGTAAGCTACTGAAGATAAGATGGAAGAAGGTTCAGGTTTCCTCTGCAATAAGAGAGGGTTACTAAGTCTACTTTGGTTTTTTGGAAAAAAAAATTTCATAGCTTTGTCATTTTTCTCCTTCATAGTATATTCTACTCATGTCCTCATACTAATCTCTTAAAACTGTTCCATTGCAGGCGATATTCCTGTCTCTAAGAATTACATAATTGAGATTTAAAGTAATCTAACATAGTTTTGAGAGTGGATTTGGGTGTGTGTATTGGTATGTTTTTGACAATGAGAAAAAATTGCTAAACTTAAGTAACACAATTACATGATGTGGGTTTTTTTGCCTTTGATAACTAGATGAGGCTTGTAGTGCAAGTACCTATTTCAGTCTCTATAGTTAATGAAATTAGCTCTCCTACTGTTCATAGAATTGCAAACCTCAGCCAGCCTAACTTGTCAGAAGTTCTGTCCAGCCATTACCAAAATGTGTTGTGGGTTTCTTGATTGACAGGTGATACTTTCAAGGTCTGTTACAAAAGTCATAATTTGGGAGGAAGTCATCCTCCTAAACTTAACATGAAGTACTGGGGTGTGTGCAAGAGTGTGTGTTAGGATTTCTCTGAAAAATACCATGTAGTACCATGCCTACTTCATATGCCTTCAGAAAATTCTGAAATATGTGATGTGGCCTGGAAATGTGTGTGGCTTAACAGTGCTTCTTGGTGCAGTTGACACTTCCTGCTGTCCAGTGCTAAGCTACCTTAAGTCTCTTAAAAACATTAATGACTTTAGAACACCACAATCATTTTTTGTCTGTTTTCATTTTAACAAAACCAAACTTAATATGTAAAGTTTTGGTTGACCTGCTAGATAATACAATTATTTTTTTTTAATTTAAAATTAATTTTTGCTGATTCTATTAAAATAATAGAACAAGTATATTTGTAACTTATTTGGAGTTAATGAGTTCACTAAGTGGTATGATATTGTGAGAATGAACATGAATTTATATACAGGATAGGGGAAGTTGACGGTCTGAGCTATTTCAGTCATCTCTGACATTTGTAGCCATGCTATCTGATCACTTACTATAAACGTATGGGGGGAGAGAGTCAAAATCGTAGCAGGAGCTGAAGAGATTTTATCTTTGAAGTTAGTGTTTGGCCCTCCTTAATCCTGATGATCAGTCTTTTCAATCTGTTCTATGCATTCAGTAGGAAAAGAAATACTAAATGGTAAATCTTAAGTATCAAACCAGATAAATTCTGATCCTTTTTAGTCTAAGACCTAGTTGAAGTGCGGTATTACATACTATGATTTGTAATACATAACTTGAATGTATGCCTTTCTCTCTAGTTAATTTTCATTTAGCAAATACATTTGCTTGGCTAAATCCACTTTTTGTATGTTGACTGATATTATGTGGTTCAATCGAACTGAAAGTAATTCTGGGTATGAACTGTCTACCATGAGACATTAGTAAAAATGGCCAATTTTTACAGATGATTCCAAGTAGGAAAAGCAAAAGTGGTGTCAATTTGAATGTATCAAATGTTTTAAGTATTCAATAGCAGCAGACTGTTACTTGTAACTGATTAGTAAGTTACAGGTGTTTGATTAAAGTTAAGATTGCATTAATTGGATGTTCTTTGAGTGAGTATAAATTTAAGGGCTTCTTTTTTTGTTGTTGTTTTATGTATAGTAGAACTTTTCATTTAGATAAGAGAATACAGTATAATGTTTTTTATTGTAAAGATTTCTAAAGAGTTGCTGCTTTAGCCATGTTGCTAAACATTGGGGAGCAAGTAGTACATCAGTTGGTTTGCCTTAAGAGCTTTAAAGTGAACATTTCACATAATACAAAATTTGGTGAGAGTCTTAAACTTTTACATGTAACCACATTGCCTTTTTTCTTGGCAGCATTTATAGCCCATTGTTCTGGGGTCTGTGGTTTTATGTGGTGGTGATGGTTTTGTTGTTCAGGTATAAAAGTGTATTTCCAATGTGGCTTTACTGTGCATTGGATTGCTTACTGTGGTTCAGTGCAGTGAGTACCTTTAAGCCCCTAATCAGTTGTATCCTTCACACTCTGGATTTGGGTTTTTGTTGTTGTATTGTTTGGTTGTTGAGGGGATGGGGGGTGGTCAGACATTGATTTTGGGTTTTTTGGTGTGGTGGTTTTTTGTTTGGTTTTTTTTTTTTTTTAAGATACCGTATCTAGATGTGTAACTTGTTCAAGAATGTTGCTTCAAGCTGTCTGGTCTTGAAACTGGTGCTGATGAAGTCACTTGCTGCTTATGGGGAAATGAGTCTGGGCTCATAACTTCTTGTGAAATTTGGAGAGTTTGTGTCTTGCCTTCCAAGACGCAAAATCTTCTCTTAGAATGCTTTACTAAGGCTGTGCAAAGTGAAAGCAGGTTATGTAGGTTAGGAAGGAGTGTCTCAAAACAACTCTCTGTAATTATATGTTCAGTTGAGGTAATTATTCTTTACAGTAAGCTAAGGCACAGTGTAGACAACAATATTGAAATGTTGCTTCCCTAAGGAAGACAGTGTTTTATGGGGTTTTTGAGGGGGTTGGGGGAAGGTGTTTGTGACAATGATTCTGCAGGCACTAGGTATGGACTATGAACATTGAAAATTTCAAGAGAGCCTTGAGTTTTCATTTCTCAGTCATTGGTTTTTCTGCTATTCATTCTTCTTTGATTAGACGGTTCTTCTTTCTATGTGGTTTTTTTATGCTAGTTCAGAAAATAGTCCCAGTAGAGATGTAAACAAATTCAGAAAACATCCTCAGCTCCTAATATGTAAAGCATAATTATGCGCCTAATAAATTGTTCAAAAGAACAACCAAGATGGTAAAATTGGATTGCTTACTATGCACAGAAGAATCCTGTTAAGGAATGTTGCGAGCAAGAAAAATCCAGAGTAACCAGTAGCTGGAGTTCTTTATTTAGTAAAGAAGGTTTTGAGAATTAGGACCGTTGAGAGCACCTATTAAGGCAACATCCTTCTGAGCTCAGAAGGAATGTTTTCTTTGCTCTCATTAAGTATTTGTAAAACCTGCTTCTATGCAGTTTCAGGAAAAAGTCTTGCTTAGTGTGAAGTATAAAGTATTTTTACTGAAGGCAGAATATTTGGAAAAGCTGCTAAAATCTGAGAAGTCTGTACTGTGCACATGGGAACAGCAGTCTCCCTCCTAAATGCACCACCTCTCTTCCAATCCTCCCCATACCTCACAGCCTTTCATCTTGACAGAACTAGGGTAATCCTGTTTTAGGTCAGGAAATGTATTTATCTGACATAAATGCTGACGTATGCTAAATTTCAGGCTTTGGCTTTTAGGTCTGCGGGTGCACAGCACAAAGAAAATATATCTGTCAGTTTGTGTGTGATCTTGTTTTAATGAGTAAAATAGACTTCCCTTTTTTCTTCCATGAGTAGCAGAATGTTATTGTTAAAGAATTTTGAGGAGAGAAGGCTTTTGGCTAAATTGACATGTTTATTCTGAAAAAGGCACTTGACACTGCAGATTGCAGCCGAAATAGTTGATTATGACTTACACAGGACTGATTAATAGGGCTTCACAAGAAATGCTGGGCAGTCATTAATTTTAATCCTCTCTAGAATAGTCATCTGAGAGAACCCTGAAGCCATATTACAAGTAAAAGCTATATATAAGTGAATGAGTTAACAATTTTTTTTTTAACCATTTTTGTTCTAATTTGCTTATAATGGAACATGATGATATAATTCCATTCTGTGAATGGAATTAATCTGGTATCTTTTTCTTACCTGGCTTTACAAACACCTGTTAATTATCAGGTTCTCATTGGTCATTCATTTTCATACTGTTGCAACTGTTGGTGAATTTTGCATGTGAGTGCTTGAAGCATTTTTCAGTACACATTTTTGTTTTTTAAAAGCAGATGTAGAGTAACTAGTGAATGTTCTTTCTACAGTATTTGATTGTTTAAAGAATGTTCTTTGTTTTAAAGATGGGGATACCAGTGCAACAGAGAGTGGTGATGAGGTTCCTGTGGAACTGTATACTACTTATACAACTACAATTCCTGTAGCTCCTACAAGAGTTACAAAAGTCAATGATAAGAAAAGGAAAAAAAGTGGAGAGAAAGAACAGAACATAGCAAAATGTAAAAAAGTAAGTGAATGTAATTTCTCTTATAACTGTGTTATAATTTATAGCTGTGTGACATCTCTTACCAAGAGACACTGGTTTTAGAAATCAGGCTATTCTTACTAATAATATTTTACTACTTGGGTTTAGATTGAAATGTAATACTCTGCAGTAAATGATACAGTTTCCCTGCCTCTTTCCCACCCCTTAATTCAGCTTAATACCTACTAGCCACAAAAGTTCAATTTTCTAATTGAGGCAGAATTTGTAGAGAGGAATTGCGTTTATTGGACCAGTTGATATAGTTAGAGGTGAGGCAGAACAGGCTTTGGATACCCAGAGAAAAATTCTGTGTCTGAAAGTCTTCAGTTGTGGTTGCTTTAAGTTCAGAAATGTTTGCTCTCAGTTGTCCTGATGTGACTTTGCGTCCATTTATTAGAGTTGAAATTGTATGGAAGTGTGCTGTCAGAAAGTTAGCTACTGAACTGCTTTGGTGAACATGATATTGACATGATACTGTGTAGCTACAGGTGTAAACAATAAAATACATGTGAAGAAGTAGAGTATGTAGAATTTCCTAAACTAATGAGTTTGTTTCTGCAGTTTCAGTTTCGATTTCACTGACTTGGATGAGAATTTTGTCCTTTAAAACAGAAGTCAGAATTGTTTACTGATATGTCTTTGGAAGTCTTGAGTAAAATGTTTTCTTTTGAATGAATGGTTCTGAATATAAATTTACTACCATTTACTACCATTCTTCTGTTATCTCCCAACATTGTGTGAGATGATTTAAAGAATGAGGATTTTTTTTTGTGGCATGACAAACTTCTTTCAAAAGTTAACATTATAGTACATCTGTGACACCACCTTCCCCCCTCCCCTCTTTCCACAAATAGTGTAGTGAAGGATGGGAATGGGCAATTTACAGATTTACCTGATAAGTGTGGGGTGTCCTGTAAGTAAATTTTCAGTTACTTTGCCTTGAATTCTGAAATTCCATAGAGTCATGTTGTAATATGGGAGAAACGTAAGCGTACCTGGACTACTAGCTCTGACATCCCGTATGCACTTAGCTTGGAATGCTGAACTGGTTTTTAAAATACATTTTCTGAGATGTTGTCTTATTGAGATTACAGTGTAGTTTGTTCTGTTGTCATTGTCTCGCATGTTTTATTTAGAATGGTCCATGTTTAAATTTAAAGTTCCTCATTAAATTTTGTACTTCCTCCAGAGAATATAAATACCTAATTTTGTTTCAGGCATTTCGAGAAGGATCCAGGAAATCTTCACGAGTAAAGGTAACGTGATTTTGTTTGGTTTTTGTTTTAAACCTTAATTGTACATTACTGAACTAATATAAAGTATGAAGAGTGCAATTGGGCTATACATTAAGCACTAAAATACTCTTTGATAACTAATGTACTACATATGCATCATAGTAGTTTTAAATAAAGGTATGAGCACTACATCTTTATGTCCTGCAAAGTTAACTGAAATAGTATAGTGTAAATTTTTATTCTGAGAGTACTTGTTTTTCAAGAGCTGGTAGAGGAATTAGGACTCGTTTGTGCTATGCAAGGGAGTAAAGTTGAGTGCACACCTCATTTGAACTTAGTAGCTCCAGCGTTTCATAGGTCTAAGCAGCAAAAGAATGAAGTGGCTATATTGTATTTGAAAGCTAAACTAGTGATTCTGCTCTGTCATACCTCCATATATTCATCTGGTGGGACTCTTACTGACTAGTGCTGGCATAGTTTAAGGAATTGTGTTGGGATGTCTGCTTTGTAAGATTTAAGTGTTATAGCAGTCTTTAAATTTTCTGACAGATAAAAATATGCATGGTGTGAAAACTAGGTATTTCCCATAGATTATTTATCCTTGGAATATATATTTTTTAAAAAAAATTGGACACAATTTACACTTCAAATGTATAAGATGTGACTTGCCAATTGTAAAGACAGAGTTGGGGAAGAAAATCTCTATTTTGTGCTTTTTGAATATGGTGTTTGTAAGGTTCCATTATGTTTTTTCATGGTTTTCTTAGTATCACACTTTTTTTTTTTAATGCTGTTTGTGTGTATGGTTCTCTTGAGGGACAAAAGAAATGTAATCAGTAACAGGTAAATTGAATTGCTGAACTACTTGCTGTTTTATTAATGTTTAATAGTGTCTCTGCTCAGGTGGATAGAAAAGGGAGCGTTGGTTGGCTGCTGCTGTCCGTAAGGAGCCTTGGTTGGATGCAGCCTGGGCGCGGGCTGCAGCTTGGCCGCTGCTTATGAGGTCCGGAGGTACAATGGCACTTTCTTTAAAAGTGAAAGGATCTGAAGCACTGCAGAAGAAAATTGTTTAGTGAGGATCAGATAAGGGGAGAAAAATGATCTGTGCAAAGTCTATAACGTTAGAGTCACAACCTTAACATAGTAGGTGTAGGATTAGGAAACTTTAGTAAGTTATGAAGTAGAAAAAGATAACAGCATGACCCTTGAAGTTGAAAGGAGAAAATCAAATTTGTATTACAGGATGGAAGCTGGATTTCTTTATATTTGCATATGTTAAGAAAAATTGAGTAGGAAGGGAGATCTGACCCTCCAACTCCTGCACTCATAGATTCATGATGCAGTGCACTTGTGGGAGGAAACAATGTCAGTCTCCATTCTCATCCCACTAAAAGCTAGAAACCCTGTTGAAGGGGGAATGTATTCCTGAACTTGGGCTATATTTATGAAATTATAAAATTCATAAAAGGACAAATGTAATGCTACTGAATTCAAAATGCTTTTAAGTAATGCAGACTTTTATACTGGACTTCCTTAAAAAAAAATAAAAAAAATTAAGCCCCTTAAATCAATGGCATACCTTTGCCCTTCATTTTGTGTCTTGTTGTTGCCTTACTTTTTATTTCAGTATCTTTTTCTTACCTTGTAATATGTGGTTACTTCCTTTAATTTTTAGGGCTCAGCTCCAGAGATTGATCCTACTGACAGTTCGAACTTTGGATGGGAAACTAAAATCAAGGCATGGATGGATCGTTACGAAGAAGCAAATAATAACCAGTACAGTGAGGGTGTCCAGAGGGAGGCACAAAAAATAGCTCTGAGATTAGGCAATGGAAGTGACAAAAAAGAAGTCAGCACCAGCAATCTGATTTTCAAACCTCCAGTAGAGGTAACAAGCTGTGTCATGTTGTATTACTGTATGCTGGTTTTGTGCCATGACAACGATACCCATTTTAGATGCCTTTGAAAAAAAAAATGGGGAGGGGGAAATGCGACTATGACTTTGCATTTATTTTCTATATGTTGTCTCACCAGATCTAAGCATCAGAGTTTTAACAGCTTTTTCAGAATTTGTAACTGATTTTTCATATGTCCTGTATCACCCCAGATTATGTTTACACTTGCATGTCAGTTCTCATAAAAATAGCTAAGGTGCTAGCCTGAGCCTGAACGTTGGATTGTCCTTAGGCTGTCTTCTGTGGTGGGCATAAAGCATTAAGCTTTGCTGCCACTGTTTCTCTGCTCTGTGAGGAATATGAGAGGTGGTTAGATTAGATCATAGAATCATTTAGGTTGGAAAAGACCTTAGAGATTATCGAGTCCAACCATAAGCACTGAAGTTGGAATCTTTTTTCTGCGATGTGTATCAACATGTTAATTGTCCCCATTTTTCTTAAGATGTGGTAAGTGTGTTCTGGATATTTAGGTATTCAGATAGAATATAATTTCATTTCCAGTTCATGAAGGATGTTTTGATGGTAGGTGATGTTCTGATACTGATTTTTTTTTTTAAATATTTTTTTTATTCTTGTGGTCCTGTAACTTCTACTTTATGAAGAAATTGTGCAATGTGTTTCTCTATCCTTAACATCAGTTACTTATCAGCTTAAAATCAGAGCCACACAACAGACTTCAGCATTTTGTAGCAGAAATCTCAAGGAGTAGGTACTGTAGCAGATTAATGGAAGCATCTTTGCTTCTTTTCCTCAAAGACCGTCATGGCATATGGGACACCCTCCTTAGAGGAATATCCCTGCTTACAGAGCCTCTTGCCTACATAGAGGCTATTTCCTTTTTGATTGGCAATGACAGTTATGAGAGGTGTGAGTTCACTTATTGTCAGGGTATATATTGGTTTTTAATTAAAAGTCATCTTTCCATCTAAAGATATGGAAATAAGAAATTTGGGAACTCTCTTAGGATTCTTTATTATTCTTACTACTATTTTCCTGTTCTGTTTCCTTTGATAGATCATGAATGTCCTTTTAAGTTTGCATATTTTCTTTTGTTTGAAGGAATTGAAACCTTTTGAAAGTGTTATGCAAAACAATGCAGCAGTTCATCCTAGTAGTGGTGAGAGTCAAGTGCACTAAGGGATATAGTACTTGAATTGTGAGAACATGAATATGTTGGATTTCAGCCATGTACTGCAGAACCAGGGCTAAAGCATTTATTGAATCCAAATGAATAACTAGTTGCATTGGTAGGGGAACAGGACAGTTTGATCAAATCAGTCTGGAGGTTTAATTACAAAAAGGAGGGGGTTTTAGTCCATATAGAATTGTTTAATAGTTGTGAAAGTATAATCTGCTGTTTATAATAATAGAAAAATGGTAGAAAATGATACTTTATAAATTAACTTATGTCTTTATAGAGCTACGTGCAAAAAAACAAGAAAATTTTAAAAGCTGCCAAAGACTTGCCTCCTGATGCACTTATTATTGAATACAGAGGAAAGTTCATGCTGAGAGAACAATTTGAAGCTAATGGGTATTTCTTTAAAAGGTTTGTTTATTCCAAATATTTTAATAAGGTGACTGTTAAAATGCTGTTTTGCCAAACTCTTGCCTCAAGTACCAGTGGGTTTCAGTTACCAGCAGCATCTTGCATTTTACTGTTGTCTGAGTAAAAATAATTGTAGCTGGAATCTGGTCTCCCCCTTCTCTTCTGGATGTCCTTACAGATCTGTTCAGGAGTTAGTTTCCTCTTTCTTTGTTCTTCCCTGGTTACAGGATTCCGCATTCTCAGTTGGGTAGTTTGTGCACCTTAAACCAGAGATTGGCAGGTTCTACCATCCTAAAATAATTCAGAAGGTAACAGCAAAGACATTCTCTTTTGTAATTGGACACAGGTCAGCTTGGGGCCATTTTACTGCCAGAGTTCTCTAGTTGTTTAAGTCATTCAGCAATGTGTGACTGCTTCCTTTTTCCTGTGGATCATTTTCAGTGCTGCCATTAGTTTTCCCTACTTGGGAAATTGCAGGTGGCCTGTTGGAGGAGAGAGAGAACACACAGCTTTTGCTCAGTAAAGATGGAAGGGTTCCCTGGCACTTGTAATAGCAGAACTTTAAAACATGTTTTGGCAGAGTATTTAGATGCCCACTTTCTTCAGGAGGGTTGGGTGCTAGTGATACTGCAGGTGTTAGGCAGGGAAGTGGAGGTGTTATCTTTATTCTGCTTTTTAGATGATTCTATGAGGCTCCTAAATTTATACCAGAGTTTCATTTTAGGACCCACCATATGAAAAGTTTAAGAAAGATGAAGAATCTTAACCTTGTGTCTTCCATGTCTAGTGCTTGCCCTGTTACTGTTCCGCTCTTCAGATCCTATGCAGCAGAATTACGTTCACGGCTGTAATTCAAACTTCTGGTATTCTCAGAATACATTTGGAGCATGTACCAGTTAGAATCATGAAGCTTAAATACAAATGCGTCATTCTCAGATTAACCCACAGATTTGGTGTAGTGTGCCAAACATCATGTTACAAAGCTAACTAATGTGAAAAATAAGTGGTATTTATCATCTTTAAAAATAATAAAACTCTTGTTTTTCTTGTATCTTTTTCAGGCCGTACCCATTTGTTTTGTTTTATTCTAAATTCCATGGGCTAGAAATGTGTGTTGATGCAAGGACTTTTGGAAATGAAGCTCGTTTCATCAGGCGTTCGTGTACTCCAAATGCGGAGGTGAGCATATACATAAGTTTTATTTACTTAGAAGTCTCCTTCTCCTTGAGTTTCCCAACTGATTATTTAAGCAATCCCTACAAT